AGACATGGGTCGTTTGGTCCACGGGGCCAGGGCTATGGCAGGTGCTGTTCTGTAAGCTGCGGAGGGTTGTGGGTTCGAATCCCGAAACCTCCACGGGGCATGTGTCTGAGTTTGGATGTTCCCCATATGTGTCAGTGTTCCCTGGGAATAAAACAGGCAGTTAGTTACACCGGTGTCTCCGAATTGCCCTTAGGGTGCGTGTTTGTGTGTGTGTTTGCGTCTGTGCCCTGAGATGGACTGGGATCCTGTGCGCTACCTTGTGCCCCAAGCATCCAGGGAATGATTCCAGGTTCATTCCATTCCATGGAAGACTGATATTGCATATGTGGTCAGAGCTTAAGTGCAGCGTGACCCGAATCGTGCTGTTAGCATTTAGCGGTAGCGTAACCGTTAGCATTAGCATTAGCGTCAACGTTAGAATTAGCATTAGCATTAGGGTCATTCGTTCCGCTAAGCGGCAGTTTCATAGAGTCAGAGTCGGTCAGCCCAGGTGTAGACCCCCGGTGCTTTTGGGAAAATGTTAGTTTAATCCCCTCCAAAGGGGGGGGGGGGGGGGGGGGGGGGGGGGGGGGGGGGGGGGGGGGGGGGGGGGGGGGGCAGCGGGGCGAATGACAGACAGCTGCCTGCATCGCTTGGATTTCCAGGTGCAGGGGCTGGTATTAAAGGCACCATTGAAGGCACCGGATAGGAGGGATCACCTAAGTGCCTGTATGTGAGAGGAGGAGGAGGGGAAGAGGTCAGAGGAAGGGGGGTTACATCATATGGCTTAAAAACATGTGTTTGTAGGAAGTGCTAAAAGTGACGGTAGGTCAGCATGCAGAGCCGTCCCAAGCGTGCCTGATCGCACACTGCAGCACGTGGACAGTCGGCCAGCAAATGACATCGAGCCAGCGATGAGCACTCTCAGCTATCCCTCACATTTTTTTTAAATGATCCCCCCCCCATTACAAAACATTTTATTCCTCACTCCCCCCAGCCCACATATTCTGATAGACACTCAATGACTGTTTACCAAGATCCCCTACTGGGCGTGTGGAATTAAAACTTTAATGGCTGGGTGACAGCTTTAATGTGTAATAAAAGCCCTTTAGGTGAATCGACTAATGTCAGCGGCCCCTAATATCAGGCAGCGGCCCAAAGTCAAGCAGGGGCCCCAAGTCAAACAGGGGCCCCAAGTCAAGCAGTGCCAGGCGGCTTTTGTTCTCTCCCAGGCTTGACTTGACCTGACAATAAAGAGGAGAGGGAAGGAGATTAGAGAGAGTGCTGGGGCCAGTTGTGGAGGGGTAGGGGGGGGGGGCTTTCGCCTCCTATCTGTGCGTCAAGCTGTGTTTTTATCAGGGGGGGGCGGCGGAGGGTCTAATCAGCCACCACTAGTTGGCCGGCGTGACGCAACTGGGGATTTAAGTAACTGCGGGGGGTGGGGGGGTGACGTCACCTCTTCTGGGTGTGGGGGGGGGGCTTTCCCTGTGTAAGGAGCATCTCTCTCACCACCAACCCTCCATCTAACCCTCCCTGGCTGCCCAGAACAGGGATATTCCCAACGATCTCCATGGTGGGCTTGCTGACATCCATCCTGCTGTTACTGTTGCCATAGTTACAGTTCATCCATCCTTCACCAGAGCTTCTCATTCAGGGTGGCGGTGAACCTGGAATCTATCCCAGAATGCACCAGGGATGTGGTACGGGAACATCGCCCGGGAAATGTGCCAATCTGGCTGCATGTTTAATAATTAATAATTCATAATTAATATTTTATGCTGGATTACAGCGCCTCGCCTTGCCTAAATATTTTAATTACAGGCAGATAAACCACATGTCTCTCTGCCTTTTTGAATTTTGAATGAACAGACCAAGTAAAGTACGAGAATTTTTGTCAGGGCTAATGGAGCGGAATAAGAGAGTGGTGCGAGCTGATTGGCTGCCGCGCTTCCAGCGTAAGCGGATCAGTGGTATTGTCCCGGTGGCGAGGCGCGGGCAGGCCGCCGCGGGGGAGGGGCGGCTCAGATGAGATTAACCCAGAGCCGAGCCACTACGGCGCCTGCGATGATGGAGCAGGCCAACCCCGGGGGCTATTAAAACCGGCCCGCAAAGGCGCTCAGCTATGCAGGCAGGCCTGGCCACCAAGAACCACCCCCCCCCACCTCACTGCTGCAGCGTAAAAACAAATCTCCTCTTCTGCTCCCAGCCCCAAACTACTGAGTCAACAAATATGACCGCTGTCAGGAATGGGGCGGGGCCAGAGGTAGATCATTGTCAGACAAGAACCACCTGCTTAAATCGGCTCAGAGATGGAGGAGAGGGAGGGCCTGGCCGGCGGGTCTCAGACTGAGTGCGGTTGGGGAGGGGGGATAACTAAGAAAGAACGGCGTCTGAGAAGCACGTCGCTGCCACACTACTGTCATTCGGACAAAACCAGCCTGCTGACCCTATTATTCTCCTCCTTTAATTTGAACTCTTTCAGATACTTTAGTCTTAGAAATAACATTTGCTAACTAACAGCTAACACAGATAGTAACAAATATTTTATGGATAACGCTTCACATTAACTTCACCTTCAGAATACATTTATGTGTTAAGTATACCTTAACATGTCTTAATTAAAGCATTGCATTCAGAATACTTTCAATGAACAACACACGGCAGCATAATATTTATTAATAACAAACATTAAAATCGTATAATCACATAATGCTTGTTATTAATGTATATTAAAGCTGTTAAGGAATGTTCGGATGTTATGGTGTACTTACACGCTGCTTATGAATGTTCTATGAATGCATTATGAAGGCGCACTGAATGGTCTATGAATGCATTATGAAGGCGCACTGAATGGTCTATGAATGCATTATGAAGGCGCACTGAATGGTCTATGAATGCATTACAAAGTGTTTTGGGTGTTTTAAGTGTTTCACTTCTGGATAGTGAAATCTCTAATGGTGATTCTGAAAGGGGGCGCTGTTTAAAAGGTAATGCAAAGCGTTACCGTTTTATGAGATATTCTGCTAGCTGCCTGAGCCTTGTGATATTATTGCCGACAGAGATACGAAGAGAACATTTGCTGGTGTCTTTTCAGAGAGAGGCTCCGTTCAGGCAGCGGCGAGGTCACCCGAGTCGCCGCGGTCACCACGGCTGCCGCCGGCCGTCCTGCATCTGCTCCCTTTGATGTTTTGTCTAATTGGGAAGGAATTTTGATCTTTGACCCAAGCTGTGGAAAGCTGATCAAAGGGAGCTTCTCTGGAAAAAAAAAAAAACACCGACGTTCACAGACGCGCGCACACATGCACACACACATACACATACACATACACACACATGCAGACACACACACACACACACACACACACACACACACACAGGTTGGTCTTCCTATCTAAATGGGGACCATCCATTCATTTCTATGGGAAAAACCCTAATCCCAATCATGACACCCTTAACCCCTACCCATCCCTAACCTTAACCATAAGTAACCAACCCAAATACAAGACTTTTAGCATTTTTACTTTTTTGATTACATTCACAGATTTTTATAAAACTGAGGTTATCCAAATGGGGACCTCAAAAGATGTCCCCAAAAGTAGAAAAATTTCAGGTTTTACTACACTTTGGGGACAATTTGGTCCTCAGATGTGATCTATGCAAACCCACACACACACACACACACACACACACGTGCAGCTGCAAGGGGTGTAAAAGGTAATTAAACTGTGGCTTTGAGTATTTAAAGTCCCAGTAAGTTTAGAATGGTGACAGCAGATCATCAGAGTAGTTCCTTCTCGTGGGGTGGCTGTGTTCCGCGTGGCTTTTCTGGAGCCAGTCTGGTTCACGCCCGAGGTTGGAAAAGGCGAGTGTCTGGATAGGGTTGAGGAATTTGGCTTAATCGTCGCTGGAAGTGGTGTGTGGTGAACAAGCAGGGCGTTGTGTACGTATAGACAGCAGGGATTCGGTGTCACGGGGCAGCGGAAGGAGAGCGAGAGTCAGACTGCTGGCTTTTCGTCCCCCCCCCCCCCCCCGGGTCTTTCCGAGCCTCTCACCTGCCGCGAATACGGACACGGACGGTCGCTGGTCTCCCCACATCGGTTGACATCTCTTACCGCCTGCTCCCCCGCGACCGGTCTTTAGTCCACGTGGCCAGTGTAAACAGGGGGCGGGGCTTGAAGGGTGCATGCACGCCCACACGCACACACACATGCACACATCCGAGCAGAGATCTACGGGCTCCGCTAAGGCTCTCAAAGGTCGGGATGCAGTGAGCCGGCACGCGTCGAAATAATCGGCAGGGTGTCGTGCCAGCCTTCCCCAGAAGTGCGCGGAGGATCCTGGGTCACGGAATCTGGCTTGTGGGTCATGGCCCATTTGCCGTCGGCAGGCGGCTCAGTCCCTCGGGGGCACGGGGTGCGGGGTGGGGGGGTGCGGCGCTCATTTCGATGGAGGGGGCAGGATTCGTTGACCTTATCGCAAGTAAAAATGATGATATGAGAAAGGAGGAAGTTGTGAAGAAACCAAGCCCCCCCACCAGCGGAATATCATGGCCGTTTGCCCAATCTGCTTCTGAGACCCTCTTCCTCTTCCAGTGGGGGGGGGGGGCTGGCATCTGGCCAAGAAGATAAGCCGGAGGCCCTCTCAGTGAGTGAGATCAGGCAGGGGAAGCCGGCGAGCCACATCCAGCGAGATCCAGTCCGGTGCTTCCAGGCAGCCGGCACACTGTGCACTATTGTGTGCGGCTGAGGGAAAAAAAAAACAGAAAGACAAGGAAGGGGGTTGGTAAGTGCTGTTGGGGGGGGCCAGGGGA